TTACATTATAATTTTTTTTTTTTTCGTTAAACATCACTCACTCCACTTATTAATCAGCATATGGTTTGATCAGATTTTGATGTAATAATGTAATAAATAAAAAAAAGGAGATCCTGTTTGCACATGTTTCGGTTTTAATTACACTATTCTACATAATTTGGATTTTACTGCACTAAGACTTGGTCTCTAGTAATGTGTATACATGGTGATAGCGTATAATTTGTTCTTTTGAATATAATGTGTTAAGAGTCATTGTGCATTTCCCATCGACCAGCATAGATAAATTAGCTAAATTATGATCCTATTAGTTATGAGTCCTTTACCAAAAAAAAAAAAAAAAAAAAATGAAAAAACAAACAATGTAAATGGGAAGAAATCCATTTGACACTTGTGGATAAAGGCTAGATATTACCAATGGAACAATGGAGCAGCTCATGCTGTTGGGCAGCCTATGGTATCATGGGCAAAGACGAGTCCGAAAATATACAACCAGCTTTCAAGATAACGTGCATCATCCAGAGACGAAAGTAATGATACATTATTTGTTGCACTCACTTTTTTAACAGATAGGAAGAAGTGTTTCCATCTCTAAGAAATCTTAATAAAAATACATTAAATCATATGGACACAAAGTATAATTTTATTAGAAGTTATATTTAACTATGGTACTTTTACCATCAAGTAATACTAAAGACCAGGAACCATACAATAAGTTAGTAAAATATTACATTTTATGTTAAGTAAAATTGGTTACATAGAAACTAAGTAAATAAGTGCAACCGGTTATAATAAAATTTGTATAAATGTTATTATGTAAAATGACTAATAAAAGTAAGGAGTGTTATATTAATATAGTAAACCAAGTTGGTGTTTTTATATAGTGCAATGTTTATTATATTATATTTATATATTTAATAATACAACATTTGGATATAATATACAGAAAAATGTTTTACAAACCAGATGCCATTGTTGTAATGGTCAAGTTTTATAGTGTTGTAGTGAAGCATGCCTTGGTTACGTATATACTTGGTGATAGTATTTATTCCATTAAATATAATGTGTAAAGAGTTACTGAATATTTCTCATTTCTCATCTTAACAAAGGATTAAATTTGGAATGCAAATACTAGCTTATGTAACAAAGGAGTATAAACCATCAATTGACTTATTCGACATCAATAAAATATTGAGAATGAGCATTGTTAAGAAAATTTGAATGTGATCTACAGGAATTGAATTATGAAGGCACTATCATACAGATGAAGTCAGGCCAGTTATAAAAGTACTGGAGCCTGTACTAGAATTATTTCTGTTGTACAATTAATTTCATATTATGACAATAAGAATCTACCCTTCTTTATTCCAGCTTAACCTATTGAGCTGATTGAGAGATTTTCTCCCAGAAGCTAGAAGGAGTGGCTGTTATCTAATTTCAGAAAAGTTGAAATATTATCAAATCCCAATATGGCAGCGTTTAGAGAAAATTTTAGAGCAGAAAATCCACTTTGAAGTTTGTTTTTGTTTTTTCTTCTTACGCCAAAGTAACGCCTGCTTGATCAGCCATGTGCTCTTGTAGTCCAATATAATTTTGCTCTCCTAGCATAAGGAAGGTCCATTTCGTTAAAGCAACATCTTATGTCCTGTAATGCAGTGCATGTATCAAGATGTTCTCCAGTCATCATATCTAAGGAACACAGAGGGCATATCGGGCTATTTTTTATACTGATGTGGTGGAGGTGCTTCTGAAGGAAATCATGCGCTGTGAGCATTCTAAAGCATGCCACGGCTTGCACTAAAGGGAGGTCTCCTACCAGTTAGATAGATATAGTCTATCTTATTTGTTTAAGGAAATTTCTGTACCAATAAATATAATGGTATAATTAACAATGTTAGATCTTGAGTCTAGTACTGCATTCAAACATAACATTAACAATGTCCACAGTATTAAGTATGACTAATATAATAACAGATTAGTAAACGATATATATACATAACAATTAGTAAAACATTTTTTTATTTTATTTTATTTATTTATTTATTTATTTTTAAATATTCGAGAGGTATAAGACAAATGACAATATAAATAAGCATTAATATATGTTATATGATTAACTTTACCACTTAACAGTTCAATGAACAGCCCTGTATGAAATAATACAGTTGGTTTATTTTTTTGTAGTGTCTATTTTCAGTATCTCCTCCACACTAGCATCTTCTCTGGATTCAGTGATAAATGCCTTTAAGTACTTATTTCTTGGCTCGTTGAACTTGATAAATTGGATCAGAAAATGAGTTCCCGGGTCAGTTGCAAGGCAATTGCATGCACCACATACCTCACTGGATTTAATAGTCAAAGTAGCATCTTTTAAGTATATTTTCATAAAATCTTTACTTGCTACTCTGAGACGACTAACGGCTCTTAATTTGTCTCCTACCAGTTTCTTCCAGCAATCCACTCTATCGCTTCCCTTCAATTGTTTACGATGACTTTGAAGTGATAACAATGCATAATTGAAACCAGACAGTATAACACAACTAAATTAGCAAAGCCAAAATAGTGGATAAATGAACGAGTATAAATACTCATAGTACGAGATGTTGGTTAAAGGTTGTAGCCAGAGTAATATACACAAAAAAATGTCAAATTTTAAGAAGAGAGTTTAAATGTTCACAATTTTTTTGGGTGCATTTTGTTCTAACTGTACCTTTCAAACAACTTCACCTATGTCTAACATCCAACTCCAGAGGTAACATCCTTTCCCGTGTCTTATCTTCTAACAGTTATTCAATCCTCTCGCCCATGATTCCTACTTATTGTCCAACATCCCTTCCCTTAAACATTCCCCGGATAACCTGGATATATTTATCACCTCACAGATTTTCTTCCCAAACCATGATGATCAAATCTCTGGCTGACCTTTCTTCAGACCATAGTCCAGTTCTGCTTTCACTACATTCTAATTTTGCTCCTAAACCATCACCTCCTAAATTGGACAAATTTCGAGATGATTTGGAAAACAAACTGAAAATAAAAATTCCACTAAAGACAAAAGAAGACATTATCACTGTGGACGACCACTAAAAGGCTCCGGAAATTTTAAGACTGTAATCATCCACTTCTTACCGAAGCCCAAACCTCACAAAGAAAAATCCCTAATATTTGCTCACCATCTCTTTAAAACCTTTAATCCACATCCCGATATCCTTAACCCAAATCATCTTGAATGTATTGAAGCAGAACTGGATATACCACTCTATTTGGCTCTTCCAACCTAAAGCCTTTCATCCTTTAGATACACCATTCACATCAAAGCTCCTTGACATGACCTACAACCCACCCAGATCCTAAAAACTACTTCCTCGGAAAGCCATTCTATTCCTCACTTTGTATGTGTATATATATATATATATATACATATATACTCCGATCTACATATTTTACTAACCCTTGGAAACCATCCATTATCAAAATGATACATATACCCATCCTTCTTACCGTCTTATCTCTCTTTTAACCGTCATGGGTAAAGTCCTACAAAAACTCATCCTAAAACACCTCTACCAAATCCTAGATTCTAATCACATAATCCCAGATCACCAGTTTGGATTCTGCAGATCCCATTCTACTATCTAGCAATGGCCTCGAGTAGTGGATGTTGTCTCCTCTGCATTTGTGTATGGAATGTACTGCACGGGAGTCTTTCTCGATGTAGAACAGGCGTTTGATAAAGTCTGGCACCCGGGACTTCTGTACAAACCCCGTAAATTCGTACTCCCTATCTACTTTCTCAATAGTCTTTCCTATCTTGCTGATAGATACTTCAAAGTAAATCATAATAATGTTAGGTTCATCCCTCTTTACTCAGTCTACAGGCATTCCTCAAGATAGTATCCTCGGTCCCATCCTCTACACAGTTTATACAGCTGAAAATGTCCGCCGATGACACATGTTTGCTATCTGTTAATAATGATCCATTAATTTTATCTCAAACTCTCTAATTACATATCACAAGCCTTGAATAATGGTGTCAAAACTGGAGAATTAAAATAAATACCACCTACCAAATCACCTATACCCGTTGTCGTAAACCTATGACTTCCTATCCTACAGTATCCTTTAATAATACCCTCTTAACCCTGTTGAACAAATCTGATACCTTGGACTCCACTTGGACAAACGTCTAGCTTGGAATCCTCATACCAGACTGAAACAACAAGAAATCGCTCGACGTTTCCACCTACTCCAGCACTTACTAGACAAAACAAACACTCTAAGCTTTCATTTAATTACAAAAGACTCATATACATGACTACAATAAAACCTATTTGGACTTAAGGAGTTGAGATTTGGGGCACCACAAAGCCATAAAATTCCTCACAAATCCAATCCTTACAATCCAAAATCCTTTGTAAAATCCTCATTGCTCCTTACTTTGTCACCAATAAAATAATCCATAATGTTAGTTATGTTTCTGATTTGACCCAATCCAGATACCAATTCTTCCATAATTAATTTCAGAACCATCTGAATCCCCTCATTTTTAACCTTGCTTCCTCTTCAATCCCTGATAACTCTGAAAAGACAACGGCCTCGAGATCTTCTATTTTAAGTACATTTTTTTTTTTTTTAGAGTGCTACCAGAGGTTAGTTTCTAAGTTTCTAAACAAGTATTTTCATGTTATTATTGTCTGTTATCACATTTACTGAATACATTTTAATTCTTAATACAGTTGTAAATCTCAAAAATAAATAAATAAAGTGTTTTACTTTATACTGTTAAAATTGAAATTTAGTCATTAAATAGTAACATATGCAATTTCATACAAACTGATATTTCAATATATTATTCTGCAGATGGTGAAAAGGAGAGATTATTGGGTTTGAGATTTTTACACCGAAGTGAACAAAATTTGAAATAACATGAAAATTTGGTCTCTAATCATGAAAATCATATCAATTATCATCATTAATCAAATGAAAAATTTAAGATAAAATAAGAAATTCTTTATTATAAAAATTCTGCTATAGAAGAGCAAATATGAATAATAACTTAGGATGAATAAGAAAACGATCTTAACAGTTCTCTTAAAGGTTTATTCAATACAAGATTGCAAGGGAATGCTATATTTATTTCTTTGTATAAAAGATTCTGGTTGTGTTGTTGAACTTGGCATAATCTACATGTATATTTAAACGATTACAATTAAAACATAATCTGAGCTTCCTCTGAATGTACATGTTATTATTCAGTTAATTTATTAATAATCTTAAAAATTATTTAATGCCTTCTTGAAGTCACAGGCTCTGAAGGAAGTAGTTGAATACACTGAACAGAAAGTTTTGGCTGTAAATGGATGGTAGTGTTTTGCTGGATTTCAGATTTTTTCTTTTCTTCATCACTCTCCTCTCTTTCTAAAAATATCATTCAATAACATAGAATATTATTATTGCAAGTGTAAATCTTATGAATATATATACATATATAAAAATATATATATATGTATATATATATATATATATATATATATATATATATATATATATATATATATATATATATATATATATATATTGACAATTTTTCATAACTCTGAGTTAAAATTTAGCTTCAAAGTTGTATGCCTTATTATTTCAAGGCATAAAGTTAATAGAATAACTGTTTTAAACTGCTAATATCGTTATCATAATTGGAAATAATGCTGACAAAAACTACATAAAAAAAAAAGTTTAGCTACTGCTGGAAGGAGAGACCTAGATAAAAAAGTTCTGAATACAACTAAAAATATTAGAAAAATATCTATTCAAAAATTAATGAGTAAATTTAGGACATGTTTGTAATAGACTCTACAGAAAGAAATACTCATATTTAAATTGGTGGTTCAAACAAAATTTAAATAAATAGAGAGCCTATTTATGAATATTCCTGTTTATGGGGAACAAACTTTTGTGTAATGGAAAACTGAAATAATGGAAGCTGAATTAAAAATGTACTTCGAAACCAATGGTGACAGAAAGAATTAAAAAAGCAACATAGAGTAAAACACATAAAACTGATTTGCCTTTATAACAGCATAACTTGTAAATTTTTCATTTTATATTTGAAGTATTATCAAGATTGTAAAATTTCTTAAATTCCTTTAAGTTAGCTCTCGGAAATAGTATCACAAATATCAACCTGTAACTAATATTTCATAAACAGTGGTTTAAGATCACTTATTTAATAGTGATAAGGTGGTTTTAGATTATTATTTTAGATTATTATTTTTATTTGATTTTTTATGTTGATAATTATGCTGCTCAGCTAAAAATCAAGTTACGATAAACCTTTATCAGTAGGCTACATATAAATTCTAGAACATCAATTATATTAAAGATAATTAAAAAAGAAACTCTTTCTTTTTATCATTATATAAAAACTCTTATTAAGAAATACATTTAAAATATAAAGCCTTATATTATTATAGCTGTGCACATAAAAAAGTACCAAACTTTTAAAAAACATGGCCAGAGTTCTGTCTCAATAATACTAACTTTATAAATTTAGTTTTAAGAGACATTAATGTATAACTTACAAAAAAATTAAATAAATAAGATAAAGTTTGGCATCAATATTTTAATAAAAGTAAAATATTTTCACTTGTACCATGTATCAAAGCAAAGGAGTAAAATGAAAATAAAGCTTCATTGTCCATAACCTCTAACAATTGATATAAATATATTTTATTTCATAAAAATGTCATTTAACCATAATTAACAAATAATGATCATTTTTCAACATCTTAAAAAAAAATCTATAAACCTAATGAACTAAATGGAAAAAGTAAAAAAAAATGAACTTGGCAGCTGAGCAATTAGTAATTTTGATTAAATATGCTACCATTGGGTAGTTACTCAGCAAGTGTATTCATGTCATTATATCTATTATGTCCAAATTACTTGATGTATTTATGTAATACAGTTGTAAATGTCATTAATAAATAAAATAAAAAAAAGATTAAATATGATAAAAATATAAATAGTTTAAAATTGTGACATTCCTCTTACAGTTTTGTTTCAGCTATATATCCATTAATAGAAAGTATGGCAAACATACAACTTTTTGACATTAGCTAAAACAAACACCAAAAACAGTAGTAAGGGAATTCTTATTTGTTTATCATTAATTACCATTTCTTTGAAGAAGCATAGCCATGATGGGCAAAACTTTAGATGCGATAAGTCTTCCATCATCACTGAAATTAAAAAAAAAAATTAGAATTAAAGAAAATTTTCATATGAAACATGTATCTCTTTCAACATAAAATAATAGATTTATAAAATATTTCTCTAATAGGAAGTGGGAAAAAATTATGTATTTAAATAAAATAAAGAAATTAAAAATAAAAGTGAATAAAAAAATTGAAATTAAGCCATGAGGTGCTACTGGATACTGTCCTACCCCATACTTGACTTGTCATTATTTCCCGATCATTTGGTGATTGTCAAAATATTACAATTAGTAGGTGCAGTTAAATGGGGGGGTGGAGTGGCCTAATACATGTGCTTAGTACCACGCATCGCCTAGCAACCTTATAACCAAAGTTAGAGATGGAAAAATAACTACGTGTTCAAATCCCAGTGCCCAATGGAACTATTAGCTCGGCATAATTCTCCAGCCCTCTCCCCCAGCCAGGAAAAAAACCCTGTGTAGCCTAAAAGGCAATGGAAAAGAAAAAATAAAAGTGGCAAATAAATGTTTAAAGACAAAAAAAAGTGGGAGCAAGTAGCTTTGTGGGTAAGCAGGGTAGCTACCAAACTGTCGAAATAAAATTCTCTGACTTTTCCTTATTTAATGACAGTTTTCTCTGACCAATATGTCAGGGGACAAAATTGTTAAAAATGAATACTTCATAACTATACATACATAACTTATTATTATAAACTATATATACAGTTTATAACTAATTCATTTGTTATACATTAGTGAAAATTGAAAGATTAGGATAAAAAAAACATGTCGAGAGGAGGATAGAGAGGGACTGTCTGTCCGCAGGGCTCAGTCCTGAGTCTGTGGAAGCTCTGTGGAAGCTTGTTTTCGACCAGTTGCTGAGGGAACTGGAAAATAGGGGTTTCCTAGTCAAGGACTACGTCGACAACCTGGCGGTAATCGTGGCTGAGAACAGTAGAGCCAGACTAAAGACGCAAGCCAAGAGGTGTTCCAGCCTAGTATCAGAGTGATTCCTGAGGCGGAAAAGAACTATGGCCGCTGCCAAACCAGCAAGCCAATTATATTATACTCATAAAATAAAACTAATGATTTTAACTTGACCAGATCCAGCTGTGGTAAAACTAACATAAGGCTAAAGGAATTCTATAAATAAATTAGTATTGTTATTGATACTCGTCACTTTATGCAAGTATTAGTGAAAGTCACTCCAATATCCAATTTAATATTGTAATGTAAATATTACATAGTGATTTTGATAGTGGTGTGAGGGTGGTGACGTCACGAACTACTGACAGGAATGACAGATGGTGGGAAAAGCAAGTTCCATATGTTAGGTCAGAAGGTACTAGTAAGGAGGATCGGTGAGAAGAAAATGAGTTAACTAGTATTGAATGTCTACAACTAGACGAAGACAAGAAAATAGAAGAACAAGAGAGGGTTGTAGAAGTTGGATACTACACCGAGGAAGACTCACTGCAGAACAGGGCGAGTGAAACATATAAATGGACAGTTCGAAAGTGCGCCAAGATTAGACCCCGACAAATAATGGAAATTCATAAATATGCTGAATAATAATTGTATGCCTTTGTATTATATATTTGAGGAATGTACCATTCAGTTTAATAGAATAAAAACACAAATTCTTTGTAACAATAAATAACCCAAAAATTAAACAATGAATAAATAGGAAGAATTCCTTCAATAAAATCACGATTTGGCTCTTAAAAATACAACTAAGTATAGAACAAATAAAAGGGTTAAAATAAATTAATCATGATCTAATGTTATTACATTGTATCTTTTTAAAACAGGTACATTTTTTTTAAGTATAAAAAAATATTTATATTTATTAAAGCTGAATCTATATCTCTGCTTTATAATACAAATTAAATTTATACCTTTCAACTTCTTCATCATCTACAGGTTTGCTTAGTTCATTTTGAATTTTTTTATCCACTTTTTTAGGTTCTTTTCTATAATAGAAAACAAATATTATTATTATGAATGGATATAAAGTATTGTTTTTTTGTTTTTTTAAGAAAATAATAAAAAATGTTTATTCAGGTTTTTGAGTGTTCATTCAAGTTGAATTTTTTTTAAGTAATAATCTGTACTTGTAATATTCTGAGTGCATAAACATAATAATATGATAATCTACTAATTACCAACTAAGAAATACCACCTATAAAATTGGTGATAAAATAGGAGTGAATGGTATAGAACATTTAAATTTTAGGGAAACATAAAGGCGATGTGCAAGTAGAATGTGTAACACATTGACTACATATACTCTTAATTCTAAAAATAATTCATCCTACAAGAAATAATTCATTTATGTCATAATGCTCAGTACTATACTATTGTAGATGTTTTTATTTGTTTTGGGGATAATGTTCCAGTTCCTCAATTCCATTCAAGTTGAGCATTGATATGGTCTTTTTGCCAGCTGCAATTTTTCTTTTTATTTCCACATCACATGCACCATCTATTTCAATTATGGAACCAAGATATTTAAAATGTTAAATTCTTTTTAGAACCCCTTCAGGAGGAGAACAGGAATTAATAAACTAGATAAATTTAGAATAATAATCATAGTGGTATCAGATAAATATAATTTATTTCTGCGAATTGGCTTTTAACTTTACTTTCAAAAGAAGTTCATAGAAAAAAAAATTTCTCCATTGTCAAAAACTACTTCCATTTTGTGATTCCAGCTTGTGTTATTATGACTTAGTACTAATAAAAAAATAAATTAGTTATTGTTAAAAAAAATCACAAGCCAAAATGCAAGCTGAGATGTTTTTAAAACTAAATGTAATCTCATGGCTAATTCTAAGAAAATGCAGAAATGTCCAACATTCAATTATATAGATTCAGTAATATTTCAAACTTGATGGAGGAAGGTGGTCACTGCAAATTACATCAATAACAAAGATGTTGACTCCGAACTCCATCAACCTAATAAGATTGTTACCAAAAATCAGAAGTAGTATACCAGCATCTGAATATTTATTATTATGGATATTTATGTATTTACTTAAGAATATTTACAATTTGGTCCTCTTGCAAGATGAAGCTTGAAATTGAATTGGTGGTTTATGAGGTCTAGTATGCAGCCTGGCTTGATTTACTATCACTTCAGGAGGATCACTAGAACGTCTGGATAATTTGCTTCTACCCCATCTATAATATGTCATAAAAAAGTAATTCTTCTATCTTGAACAAATAAAATATTTACACATTCCAAACAATTTTATCCTCAACTCATATGATGCTTTGGAACACAGCGCAAGGTTTTTATATATACAATAACCTTACTTGTAAAATATTAGTTATTATAAGATATAAATATTATATCATTATCAGTACAGATCACTTCCACAATTTCCTAACAATCATTTTAAACACAATTTTTAATTTAATTTTAATGTATTACATCATATTAAATAAGTTTATATTTAATTTTTCATTTATTTTACATTATAAATCATTTCTGTGGGTAAATGGTTGACTGTCGTGAATAATGAAGAGAAGAATAGTTGGGGTGATCAGCCAAATAAGAAGGCAAAAATAAATATTATCATTTATTTTTGCCTTCTTATTTGACTGATCACCCCAACTATTCTTCTCTTTATTATAAATCATTTCATAATTGCGAGAAAAAATTTTTTTCTTCATTTATAAGTACAGATTAGAAAATATATTGTCTTTTTATGATTAATAACTATTTATCCTTTGAATAATTTATCAAGTTTTATATTAACACTTAATGCAGAATCGAGAAGATACAAATGGTTTATTTTTAAATTATTATCTTGAAAAAAATAAAATGAATGAAACACTTACCGGCCAACCATTATTCTTCCTGTATTGCAGCTCTGTTTACTGCACTCCGTAATTTCAAGTTCCTAAAATCAAAATAAAACTTGACGATGACAAATATTCAAGATATGCAATCATTAAATTAATGTGGTTTATTAGGTTTGGCAACAATGCGACCCAAGAAGCATGCGGCTCATCATCAGGGAAATGGTTGGTAACTTGACTAACGACAAGAACTGGCAACAAACTTAATGCACAACATAGATATTGATAAACTTAATAATCATAAATTACAGCAAATTCAGACTATATGTCAATCTCATAATTTTAACAATCAACAATAACTCTATCTCAAAATATACCTTATATACTTTTAACATATTTAATAAAATATTACCTTGACTAATGGATGAGGGATACATTAGTTTATTTGAACAAGATATTGAATTATAAAAATAAAATAAAAAGTTAGTAAGATGAGGCGCTGATTACTTCCTTTTGTTATAAATGCCAAAGAAATTAATTTATATCAAGTACTCCTTAATGTATTTTTCACAAGCTGTATTATTTACTTTTAACTTAATTAAACAAATAGCGAGATTGGGGAAAAGATCATTTTAAACAATGAATAAATCTTTTTCCTCACAAGTGATAAGCTACAAAAGAGATCATAAATAGAAAGAAAAAAAACAGAAATTTATTATAAGTTAAAATTCTGTGATTGTCTCTACATTTTAAACCACAGTAATATTATCATCCTGACATCAAGCAATAAATGCATCATTAAAATACAAATACAATAACAAAAAAAATTCACTCTGATTTATTAGCTTTATGATAATTTAAATTAATCAAATTAGTCTTTGATTGTTATTTATTGAATGTTTCTAGGAATCTTCATACCCCACCCTCTTCAATAATATTCTATTCCCCTAAGAAATTGGTTAAGTCATATTTTAATATAAGATTGGTTCAATGGTATAGTTGGATATAAACCATGGAACAAATCTTATTATATAAAATTAATGTGACACCCAATTTCTTGGGACAATGAAATATTGGTGAAGAGGAGGAGGAAGATTCCTTAAAAGGTTAAATAAATTGCAATCAAAGACTAATTTGGTTAATTTAAATTTACCATACGGCAAATAAATCCGAATGAAAAGAATAAAGGTGAAACCTGTAAAATAGAAAAATAAAAAAATTTAATTTTTAGTGAAATTTAAATGAATTTCCAAATATCTGTTGTAGACACTTTCACAATATTCCTTACTGTTATTGGTATAAATTAAAATATTATAAGCTGTATCTTAACTAATATTAGTAATAGAATACTTAAAATCACACACAAAATAATGTGGTTACGTGATTGGTTTATAAAATCAAAATTGAGATCTTTTAAACTTATGAAATTAGTAGAGATGTTTTTTAAATTTCTTTATTTCCTTTTTTTTTATTTATTTATATTATATGTATACGCTGTCTCCCATTTGAATCCATAAGGAAAACCAAAAAGTTCAAGATGGAGAAAAATAGGGTATGTCTCTGTTTCCAGAGGCCTACTGATCGGATTTGTATTACCTCTTTATCAGTGCCAGTATTATATGGTCAGATTTAGAGCTTAACGATATGATGTAGAGAAGGTATTTACAGTTATAATAGAAGATAAAATGCTGCAAATTATTTCACTAAGGATTATTTTCAAATATTTATATATTAAAACTTTACTTGAAACATTCTGTTTTATGATTTTTGTAGTTTTTACATGAACACACCTACTATAGATGTGTAACTTATTCATTTATAACAAACAAATCATATATCTCCTGGGCTAGTAATGTATTTAAAAAGCTATAATATTTTTATGTATATGTTAAAATTGTAAGGACCTAAAAAGTACAAAAGTTTATGATTATCAGCTTAAAACAAAGTTGCTGATTTTGATTAAGCTATAACAGTTCGAAATTTAATACCCAAACTTAGCAGAATATTTTTTATTTTATATGTATGACACATATATTCATATATGCTAGGAATGTTTATTTAAATTTGGAATAATATTTTGAGTTAATGCATAGCATAGTTAGTTCCTGTTTCTTTAATATCAATATATTTTCGTATTATCAAAAATTAATATTTACAATTGTTAATTTGTTAATCATGGCAATAATATTAATATTTAGGTTTAAGAGTTAAAGAATAACAATAACGTTATTCTATTAGAACAATTGATTTTTATTTACTGTTATTGACACATTTTATTTATTACAACTATAAATATTTTTAACTTTATAAATTGTCAATTTATTGCTTGACAATATTTATTTTACTAGGTTAAAAGTCCCAGTAGCTGCCAGCTACCAGTAACAGAAACCCTTCTCGAAAAATGACTATAATAAGACTTGAGAACCTCCTAGACCTCTCATATCAGACCTGTGGCTTATATATTTTCTGCTAGCATATTTCTCTGACTTGCTTTAGTCTTGCTGAAAATCGCAACCAAAGTAATGGGTGACAAATGAAGATCCCTCAGTCGATTCAGAATCCCAAGAACAAACATCCAACAGTCAGGACACTATACATTAGGCATGTTTCTTTCTCCTTAAATACTTCAATTTATCCAAACATTTTTGCTTTATTTTTTCAAGGGTGTTTTTAGATTATGTTTTTTTTACCTTTGCTTTAACTTATTATGATAAGTAAATTGGAAATTTAATGGGTGTCAGCTACCGCAGCCTTATATTGGGATTTTTGCTGAAGCTGACAGGGTTGCACTAGCATAAATTCAAACAGATTTACTTAATATAATGGGTTCTGAAAATGTGATTATTCACTACTAAAAAAAAAAAAAAGCTAGTGATTTGGATTAAATACAAAGCAAAAACAGGATTTTCTATTGGCAGAGAGTGTCCAGCATTAAGCAATGAATTTAAGTGGAAAACAGCAGAAGGTTTAATAGTATTTCAAAAATATTATACATTAATAGTTGTAATATTATTCCAAATTTAAAAATTAATAATCCCAATATTTATTCTCATGATGTGGCAGTTTCACACAGAAATCTATTCCAACTATACTAACTCTTCACACTCTTTTCAGTTTCTTCACATACCTTTTATGCCCATTTTTAAAATATGTATTTTACTCTTCCATCCGCTTGTTAATTTATCCCTCCATGCTTTGTAATTCATTTATTTTCCTTTTAATCTTTCCTTAAAATTTGTGAGATTATATTCACAATTATGTATATCATCCACCCTGTGTTTATGGCATTTAATTGTTTCTTATCTATAATTCTTGTTACAAATTTTATTTACTTTATTTTAGTTTCTGGTAACTTAGTTAAACTGTGTTACATTCCAAATCAGTGTCAGCTATAGGTGCAACAAAAATATTCTCTAAGTTTACAATTTTTGAAAATTTAGATTAATATTTCATGAATTTTAAATGTGTCTCGGCAAAATGAGAAGTAGTTCTGTAAGATGAATAAAAAGAAAATAGAATAACATCAATATTTATGAGGAGTTGATCGGGAGAGGGGGGGGGGCGGTGTGCAGTCAAATAAATATTAAATTATAGAAATAGTATTATTTCTCTCACGGTCAACCATCTCTACATCATTATTAATATTTATGGTTTTACACTTATAATTTTTAAAAAATCTCCTTAAGCATTTAATCTACTGTTGCATTTGACCTAGCGACTTTTTTTATTATTTACGTAGTATAAATAGTTAATTATGAAATAATCAAGAAAACCAGTATGGTTAAGAAATATGTAAATATTTGAAAACTAACTCAGCAAACTCTGTCTATTTATTTTTATTTTTTATAAATAGAAAATAAAGTTAATATTTTTCTTTATGTCGTTGAGAGATGCAAAACCATAGAGAGAGAAACACTTTATTTTTATATGAAATATAAAAGCTTGCTGCCCAATTATATTGGGTTGCTATATACACAGCATACTCGTTAATCCGTAGGAAAATAAATAGACTTATATATGAATATATAGAAGTGGTTTTATAAATCTGCAAATGAATTATGATGGATAAAATATTTTTGATTATGCTAGTTAATGCTCAAACCTGAACGTTTTTTTTTACGTAGGTATAATTTTATTATAGCAAAAATAAATATAGCTTAGAAAAAAGAAATTATTTTTTGAAATATCGTCTAGTTATATACAAGGAGACAGGGCTGAGTGGCAGTAAACACGCGACCGGAGAGCACGACAGCTGATAGAGGAAAATTTATAAGCCATTCATGCATACAAACAAATCGATTTTGGAATTCGTGTCTTATCAATACACTTGAAACATTTAGGAAGCGATCAACTCCACATCATGACCATAATTACATTTTAATATGTTATCTAGGTGATAAAACTACAATATTTTGATAATAATAATAATTGAAAAGAATGTTTCCCGAATCTACTTGTTACAGGTATTTTCGAACTGATTATAGAAACTTCTCCTTAGCGGAATAAAAATGCGCTCGTTTTAAAATATGCTTATTAGTTAAAGTACAAAAGGATTTGGATATATAATTTCAGTTTACCAATTCGGAATTACAAGGAAAGTATCAAGAAATCAGGGTTCATCTACCCACTGCTACATTTATTAAAATTACTAAATATAACGACTACATATAAATCAATCAAAGTTGACAATTTATGTTTAATTTATTATCACAATTCTTAATAAATTCAAACTCCTCATAACCTCCCTTGACATAAGTTCTATTTCGCTGGCACGGGTCACTATAAAAATATAAATTTTTTAACCTTGTGGGAATGTTTTTTTTTTCATGCGGTTTACTGAAGTATTCATAACTCCTCAGAATTCTGTTTTAAGTCAACGTTACTACAACCGCTGAGAAGCTTAATTATTTGGGATAAATAAAGAAAAACTACCCAACCGTTTTTATTTTTTATTTCCGAGCCTAATTCATTTGCGGGCGTCTGGTTTGTGCAGTATAGTATATTATGGGGCCCCAAATTCATGCAAATATTAGTTTGTTAAGTGAAGACATGTCGAAATTATCACAATTTTTATAATTTTCGAAGGAGAAATCAAAAACCT